ACCCTATTGGTGCATCAAACCACACGTAGAAGACCTTATCTGTGTATCCTTCCAAAGGAACTGGGGTTCCCCATTTCAAGTCGCGTGTAATGCATCGTGGCTTAAGGCCCTCCTTCACCCAACCCTGAGTTATCTGGCGAGAATTTGGTGTCCACGTTCCTTACAAGAAAAATGGTATAAAAAATATCGCGTTTAACTTGAATTAACCAGATGTAGACTGCAGTTGTGAATGCTTTAGGAAAATTCAAAGTGGAATGCAATTGAATTGCTTTTTAGGCAGCTCATGTAGAACTCTTCAGGTTACCTTCAGAAGAAGATTTGTCGATCCAGGTCTTCAAGGACGATTCCAACTGAAAGGCATAAAAGTATGCACTTTAGAACCAGTGACATTATATGTGGAAAATTTTTTTTGATCGTGGACAGTCTGTACGTAGCCTCGTCCTGCATAGAGGTGGGAGACTGCAGATAAGAGAGTATGCGGACGCACTTCGTAATTTGCCCCAGGCTTTTTGAGTTAAAACAACGACACGTGAGCGAAGATTTCAAGAGAGTTTTTGTTGTGTTCGCATGGAATGGAATTTTATGAGTTTTTGTTTCTGTAGTAATTTTATTGCTTTGTTGGAGTTTGGCACATTTTACGATATCGCACACTCTTGTTGAACAGTTACCTTGGTCAAATTCAAAAACAAGTGCTTGCTGCTTCTCACTTTTGATGTTCCTCCACAAACCTTGCATCGAGGTTTCTGAAAGCAAATTTACCTTAGTGGTGTTTAAGGAGACAATACAATGATGAACATGGATCAATCAGACACTTCTTGCTATTGAGGATAAAAACGGAGTAGTTATACGCCTAACAGTATCTTCGTTATGTACTTGTGTCTCTTACCGGAACTGGATGAATAAAAACCAATACCAAAGCGACAGTGACTTGCTTACTATTATAGCGTACATCGTCTCTCTTGACTATACTCGGTTCCGGTTGGGTTCAAATTAGTTCTACGTGTTTGTAAAGGTAAAATATTACGACATCGAACTTGAAAAGTCTCTAAATAGTTGAATTTAGTCCTACGCATAAGGATCAGTGAAAGTCAAACCTTTTGCATTCCACGCACTGAAGTTGTTCCAGAGTGTCCTCAACTAGGTGATCTTGCTTTTGGAGTCGCCAGAAAATGTCTTGGGCGATTCTAGGAGTAAAAAAGATCACCTTTTTCAAACATTTGATAAAAACTAACCCTTTACAAGCAGCATGTTCTCATCACCTTCCCCATGTAGATCGGAGAGCCTTTGTGACAGTACCATACGTTGTATATTCAATTAAATGCATTTGGCATTTCATAGTTGATTTAATCAATCATGATTAATTTACCTAGTTTACCTATAACGCTTAATTCAGACAGTGAATTTCGCGGTATGGCGATACGGCCCAGCTGCAAATGAATCTCGTTGATCGTCAGCTCTAAGCATTTTCATTTTGGTTTGGGGTGTACGGAGTATCTTGAAATCTCCCTCGCTGTTCACCCAGCTTGGTACGGGCAGTAGAAGAGAGTTTTATACTAAATTAAATATAAACTGTAGTTCTTCAAAATTACTAATATTACTTTACATTCGATTCGTGTCTTCTTGTCACATTTTTGTTTTGTAGCACTTTGTCAATTAGTGTTTCACTGTTTCTTCCAGGTAGCTCTGCATTATGCGGTGCACTTAAGTAACTTTTTGGTTTCAGCTTAAACAAATGCAACGCAGGATTTCCAAGAATTTAGGGTTTATAGTCAAAACATCGAGGAAGAAATTTAAACCTGAATAAAAAGTTGCCTCTAGAAATTTGCTACAACGAAATGCAAAAGCAGACTGGCTGTACGGCTGTTCTATGTACCTGGTACGTGTAAATATAAGATAATTTTATACTAAATTAAATATAAACTGTAGTTCGTCAAAATTCCTAACATCACTTTACATTCGATTCGCGTCTTCTTCGCCCATCTTTTTTGTAGTACTTTGTCAATTAGTGTCTCACTGTTTCATCTTGGTAGCTCTGCATTATGCAGTGCCCTTAAGTAAGTTTGTTGTTTCAGTTTAAGCAGACGAAACTGAAACGGAGGGTTTCCAAGAATTTAGGCTTTAGAGTCAAAACATCGAAACAGAGAGATGTATGCGTAATTTGAAAGCTAAGTCATAATCTACGTTTGACCAAATCCACATAAATAATTAAATAGTCAAAACATCGAAACAGAGAGATGTATTAGTTTGAAAAAACCAAGATCAAGCCGAGGAAGAAATTTAGACCTGAATAAATAGTTTCCTTTAGAAATTTGCTACAACGAAATGCAAAAGCAGACTGGCTGTACGGCTGTTTTACGTATCTGGTGCGTGTAATATAAGAGAGTTTTATGCTAAATTAAATATAAACTGTAGTTCGTCAAAATTCCTAACATCACTTTATATTCGATTCGTGTCTTCTTTGCCCATTTTTTTTTGTAGCACTTTGTCATTTAGTGTCTCACCGTTTCATCTTGGTAGCTCTGCATTATGCAGTGCACTTAAGTTAGTTTGTGGTTTCAGATTAAGCAGACGAAACCAAAACGCAGGGTTTCCAAGAATTTAGGCTTTAGAGTCAAAACATCGATGTAACAAGAGGATTTGTTTCTTAGAAATTAGAGTCTAATCATATCATTCTTGATTCTTGGTATTTGTATGCGTAATTTGAAAGCTAATTCATAATCTACATTTGACCAAATCCACATAAAGAATTAAATAGACCAATCACGAGGTTTCTTGGAAATCTTGAACACCTGTACTATGATGCGTCAGACTCTTGCATCATCCCTTCCCTGGGGGGGGGGGGGGGGGTGGGGAGGCGTTGTAATTTAAAAAACCAAGATTAAGTTGAGGAAGAAATTTAGACCTGAACAAATAATAGAATTACCTCTAGAAATTTGCTACAGAAAATGTAAATTCTAACTGGCTTTTATCCTAGACTCCAGTAGACCAGAATCGTCAAATCATTGTTACTATTTGTACACGAAGCATTGGCTAAAATTCTGGTTTCACTTCTCGACTAGCAGTGTAAGAAAATAGCTGATACCTTCATTCGTGATGTACTGTATCGTCATTGAAACATCCGCCAGATTTTTTGCTGCTAAAATACGAAGCAAGGATGGATTCCCTGGGTCGCTATAGAGCTTCATAGCTTCACCGATTTGAGATGACGATAGCTTGCGACAGCTTAGACGTGTTATGAATGTCGCTGTTCGAAGAAAAGCGAAAGAACTGACTCCACCAAAAACTGGAGACATCTGGTGAAACCAGTTTTTCGTGAATTAAATAAACCAGATTGAAGATTTGATGAAGACTGGAACGAGTTTCTGCGGCCACACACCAAAATAGGTCGGGTTCACAAAAACTCCATTGCGCATCGAAACAAGAAAACTAAAAAAGCATCTTTCAGGACCATATGGATGACCTCTAACATTGGTGCATGCCTACTTTCATTTTTTCCCTCTCCTCTTACGATTAACTTTATGATGTAAAATGGCTTCATGGTTGGTGAAAATATTGTTCGATCAAAGAAGATACAAAATTAGATTTTTGATATTGGATGGATCCTCATATTGAAATTGATTGTTTTTTTTTCATGCTTGGAACCCAGTTTTAGGAAGTAGATAGGCGCTGTGTTTAGGGATCGTTATAACCCTGTCTGATTTCTTCCCAGATATAGTCTCCAAAGATGTAGTTTTGTATCATCTCTTTTGGAAAACCACCTTGTACTAGTTATTCTCCTTCTCAACTTTCTCAATAACTTTTTAAGGTCTGCAGGGAAATGCAAACTTTGCTCAACTCAGATCACAGTAATTCGGTATACGATGTGGGGTATTTCATAGCCTTTGGGTATCTCCTGCGATAGTACTTTGGAACAAATAGAGCAGTGCTTAGCCTCGCTCTTGATATCCATCTAACTTTACTTAGGTTTTTAATACTTTTTTTTATTCACTCAATAGTTACTTTTAGTAGACTGTGGTGAGCTATGAGCTGTGAATCTTAGAAATTTGGTAATAGTCTTCCCATAACCATACCAACTCGTCACCCTTCACCGAAATTCAGGTGATAGATCCGTGATTACCGTCACGAATATGGGACAAGGTTCTTACCAAAATTGATGTATGTGAAGAAATGGAGAGAGGAATATTTGTGAACTGTAAACACATAAATGAAAACTGTTCAAAATTTATCACCTATTAATGCACCATGAGATGACTCTTTTCGATATCTGTAAAGATATTTTTATTTCATTCATTGAATCGACCATGGACAGTTACTTTCCGTTTGACATGGTTTCAGTCTCGAGCCTTTTATTTTTGTCATTCGTTATCATTAAAATTCGGTAGTTATTATAGTACTAGGCTGAATCAATCTTAATTGCTTCAAAGGGACCACTCTTATCGAGCACTTTCTGCTCTGCCTTGGTAAACTCGGTCATCTAGTAAGCCAGCTCCTTAGGTACTTCCCAGGAAAAACCTGGCTTGAAATGACCGTAGACGCATGCCTCCTGGTAGATGGGTCTCTTTAAGTCAAGGTCCCTGTAGAACAACAAACAGATATATAATTCATAAAATGCCAGTAGTAGAAAAGTGACAATATCTATAAAGCTTGAAGAGCTGGTAAGACATTGAGATGATAGTAAGTATATACGAAAAAAAGCTTGTCAGGTGGCTAAAAAAAACCTATCCACCGCCATATAAAAATGTTCAGTTCACACCTGACTATCACGCCAGGACGAAGATCAAAGTTTCTCTTGATAATTTCCAAGAGCTCGTCTTCAGACATCGTGCCTGTTCCGTAAGAGAACACAGTGATTGAAAGAGGTTCGGCAATACCGATGGCATACGAGACTTGGATCAAGACTCGGCGGCACAGCCCGGCTGCCACAAGAGACTTAGCAATCCACCTGGCGGCATAACAACCAGATCGGTCCACCTAACAGATAAAACAAAAATGGATTAATTTGCTGCTCCCATTCGGATAAATGGCTCTGTATTTTCGGTCAAATCCAAACCTTTACATAAACATGTTTTGATGGTTATGAGAAAAGTATTTTAGTATTTTCAAGAGTCTTAAAGGTAAAATAAAGCTAATTTTGGAGGCAGAGACTCAGTGAACTGTTTCAGAAGGAAAGGATATCAAGGAAACAAACCTTAGAGAAGTCCTTCCCAGAGAAAGCACCTCCCCCATGAGCCCCCCATCCACCATAGGTGTCGACAATGATCTTCCTTCCTGTCAAACCTGCGTCACCTTGGGGGCCTCCGATCACAAATGTACCAGAAGGTTGCAGATGGTAAATTGTTTTGCCATCAAGATATTTGGCAGGGACGACTTCCTGGAAAAATCGATTTGGTAAAAAGGGGAAAATGGGCTTTGAAAAGTGCACCCACACAATATATGTATGGCCAAATGCTACTGGTTGCTGATAGGTTTATATTAGTCGTGTTTTTCTGAAATAGAAAAACTATAACAGTTCCCTCAAACATAACTATTTCCCCAGTCTGTTCAAATGTATTTTTTCTATTGTGCTTTGCTACAGACGGAAAGAAAGTTATTTTAGAGCGAAAATGCTTCGCTTTGGACTGGCTTGGATTTTTTTGAAAGGTTTGGGTCCGTCGCAGTTCATTAGCAATAAACCGATTTAAAAATCTAGCTTAAAAGGTGATTAGAAATGCACAATTGATTTGTAAAATTCAGTAAAGTATACTTAGAAGTAGGAAAATCATAGTACGTCAATAATTTTCTCCTTCAGTTGCTTCCTCATTTCTTCTAATTTGATGTCAGGGTGGTGCTGGGCAGAAATAACGATAGTATGGACTCGAAGAGGTGTGATTACACCATCACCCATTTTTCCATCATACTCGATGGTAACTTGTGTTTTGGAATCAGGTCGGAGCCAGGGCATAGATCCATCTCGTCTCTTCTCAGCAAGCTTCTTGTTTAGATTGTGAGCTAAAACAGCAGTCAGGGGCATGAGTTCTTTTGTCTCATCAGTGGCATAGCCAAACATGAGACCCTGATCACCGGCGCCGATATCTTCTTCTTTTTTGTCTTTATGGACAGCGCCGGCAATGTCAGGGCTTTGCTGTTGGAGGGCAACCAGGACACTGCAGGTTTTGTAGTCGAATCCTGAAAGAGTCGATTGTTGTTGAAACTCAAGGAGTTGCTCATGCATAATATTTGATCTCCAATAAAAAGAGTCTAGTGATCAGCTTAGGGAATAATTTTTAACCTTTTTCCGAGGAATCATATCCAATCTTCCTGATTGTGTCACGGACCACTTTCTGATAATCCACAACAGCCGTCGATGTGATTTCACCGCAAATAAGAACCATGCCTGTTTTAGTCGCAGTTTCTGTTCATAAGCAAACATTTCAAATCAATACCTGTCTATCACACGCACGTCAACCATCAATAACTATTATAACATAGGTAGTAAATTTGTCTAATCAAATTCAATTGCGTGAGCGTGCTTCATATTCCAAATGTGCACGTGCAAAATTTTCCTCAAGAAGCTAGAGTTGCTAGAGAACCAACTGTTAAACAAAGATTGCATTGTGAACACATGATGTTAAGAATCTTTGAGCCTATTGTAGGCCCGAAGGCTTCTATTTCCACCGGCTAAACAGGTTTGACCGGAAATGATCTTGCCAGCACCTGATTGGGTGCTGACTGACTGACTGATGTTGTTTCCTTCAGCTTCCAAATTCATCTTCGCCCTTTTAAATCTTATTAGTGTAGAACATCGGTGAATATCACTTAGCCATCGAAAATAGGTTGATCCTCGAGGTACTCTCCTGTCTAGGTTCACAGTTGGTTATTGAGCTAACGTAAACCAACGCGACATAATCAAAATCGAAATCTTTAGGTCCATTTGCCATTGAGAAATATTGAAACGCGAATCATTTTGGATCAAATCCAAACAGGAGATATGTTTTTTTTCTATCTCACGTAACAAAATTCCCGGAATTATTTGTATTATGTCCAGACCTATTCAGCGAAAGTATACCTTGCTTCGGTGGCGTTTTCGGAAAAACTTTGTGGTGCTGGGTGGTGAAACCAAAAGAAAGAGATTCCAATTTTGATTTCCTAAGAACTCTCGATTTGACTTTCTAAGACGCTAATCATGCAACAATTTATTTCTTTAACTTACCACATGCGACTTTGGCATTTGGATCTTGTGTGAGATGAGCATCGAGAATAGCATCTGAGACCTGATCGCAGAGTTTATCTATAGAGACAAAGTACACTTTCGTTTTAGCTTGAAAACGTCAACTTCCGCCAGCGTTCAGCTGTGGAAAATTTGCGCTTAAAAAGTTAAACGATGAATTGAAACGGTACAACTTACCAGGATGTCCTTCGCCAACAGACTCAGAGGTAAAGAGGAAAGTAGTATTTCCCTTTGTCTTTTGGTTTGACATGGTTGCAAAGCTTTATGAAGGAGGCCCTAGAGTGTAATGAAAGGTGTGACTAGAAGCTAGTTTTCCGGGGCTTCATATATCTTGTAGGCTTTCCATTAGCATGCGCTGCTGACGTGTACACCGCAATTGGCTTTATGATTGGTTGAGATGTGACAGCGTTTCAACTACTTAAAAGGTTTTGGGATCAACACTTAACTTCACGTGATACTACAGTTCCAGGAAATATTTCGCAATATATTCAAAGTTTTTCAGGATGATTTGACTGCTTAATAATTTATTATCTTATTTAACAACAGCATAAAATATTTACAATTTAGACGCAAAGATTTGGGGGCGCGGCGAGATGATGGAAGTGTGTGACAAGCCAAGTAATTTTACAAGTATGAGTATTGCTGAGTTACTAGGTTAGCGCAAATTATATTTTTAATTTTTTTATAGAAGGATCTTCCTTTAGCGATGAATAATTAACGTGATGTAATAGTTCTAGGAAAAATATCCCAACAGGTTCAAATGTTCGAAGACGCAGCCTCCCACACGCGTAGACTATTAGATTGTATTTGCGCCGGATACATCATTCGCATTGCCAACCGTTAGATTTGGATGACACTCGAAGATTTGGAAACCTCTGCGTGAAGATGTAATTACATGAGTGGCAAGCCAAGTAATTTCTAAATATTCAAATGACGCAGAGCAAATAACGCAGAAATGTCTTTGAGCCAATACTTTCACTCTAACCAAATGTGGCTATGTTCCTGGAATCACAGGATGTCAACGACTATCTGCAGCATCAGTACAAGGTAAAACAAATGTAAATGAAACAAATAACTGCTTCCAAATGCTCTCTTGACGAAAGAATACAGTACTATGTCTAGTTTACGGCATAAATCATTTGCTTTTCTCTGGCCTTTGTTATTTACTCACAGTGAAGTACTGCACTATAATCAGTTCTCGTTTGTTAGTCTCAACAGGCTTGTCTGGTTACCGAAAGATTTCATTCATATGAGAACAATTTTAATCGCTATATTGCTTACTCATGTTAATGCACATCAAAGCTACTGCGTCTAAATAGAGTTAATTCAGTAGGAAACGTCACGAGCAGCTTAAGAGCGTTCTGTGAGGTGTTAGATGAAATATGATAGTAATTTGTGAATCAGTCCTTTGTAGCTTTACGTTTCCTGTTATTTGATTTATAAGCTGAAATCTCCGCAGCGATTTTACGATGTTGCCGTGTCATTTTACAGTCACCACTAGAAACATCGCCAAAAACCTGTTTTTCAAAGGGCTTCAAAGAGGTAAATAAGTTGTCGTCGAGGTAAACAGTCTTGAAATCGATAAATTGCTATCTTATTCGTTTTGTCGTATGGCGAAGGAAGTGATGCACCCACTTCCCTGAGTTTCATTTCAGCACGGCACTCGATCTGTCTTAGTGTAACACCCCCTTATTCCTACATGTTGACTTTTCTTTAATAGTTTTGCCTTTGCATTCAAAAAACGAAAACTAAAATGCATCAGTAGATTGACTTATCGATGTCCTTCGAGAGACCGAATAAATGGTTGGTTTTGACCTTGATATTAATGGCTGAAACTTGTGGCGTTTTTCAAAATAAAGAAATTTAGGTTGGGCTAACAAGCGTTGAAAATCTTCAAGAATACTAAATATACGATCTTGACATGAAAATTAAGCAATTTCCATGAACTGAAAAGAAGGTGTAGTGACTGTATTTTAGAATGGCCGGAAAGAGTGGAAAACGTATAGTGAAAGTAGGCACCCCAAACGTTTTTAAAGTGTTGGGAATACATATTTCAGGATTAAGCATTTTAGAGATCTCCCGAACAGAACAAAAATTAGGTGAGGTCACTCACCAGAGCATTAAATCTCTCATTGCAGAAAGCTATCGAGCAATGTAACACAAAGTCTTAAATTCAAGAACCACACCAGGGCCAAACCAGCCCTCAATTCGGTGTTACACGGTGTAGCTTGGGTAAAATTTACGATTCCTTTTAATTTTTTTTAAGAAAATCTTCCTTCGCGGTTAATAAGCAGATTCCTGCACCGAAATATGGAAGGATATAGGTTCGAAACAAGTAATTAAGGCAGGTCTTAAGTTTTTTTTCCAACTTAAAGGAGCAGTCAACAATCTAGGAGCAAAATACACCTCCACATGATGTGTCTTGAAGCCTTGATCGAAAATACAGGAGCATCCGCTGACTAAAAGAATCATGGTGCTGCGACTTTCTGAAGGCTTCGATCCACACCAAATCTAGCAACCCCGTGGAGGAGCATTTCTACCATCGACGTTCCACTTGAAGTATTTGAGGTGACGTTGTGTCAAATTGGATATCCAAGGCAGTGACTTTGTCATTTTGAGCCAAAAATTTCTTACAAAAACTAAGCCAAAGTTATACAGTATACCATGATGAGCTTTTTGAAAGTGGTCAGCTATGACAAAACTGATACTTTTGTGGAATAGTTTAGTTGTTGTGGTCAATAAATGATGCTGTTCCAGTCTGTTATAATAGGAATTGTTAAATTTGCTGCCTGGTTTCAACTACAGATGCCAATACCAGGGTCATTATTTAGGTTCAACCCCACTGTATCTTACACAAGGCCAACCCTAATAATATCACAGCAAACTGGTCAACTGGACCAGTTCCCTTAATTTTCAAACAAAAAAATTGCAATTTTATAGGATTCAGAACCAAAAGAACAGATGCTTTTGTGGAATAGTGTAGTTGTTGTTGTCAATAAATGTTTCTGTTCAATCTGTCATGATCACAATTTTTTTAATTTGCTGCTCGGTTTCAATGACAGATGTTAAGACCAGACCGATTCAGTATTTAAGTCTACGCCCAGTGTATCTTACATGAGGCCGACCCTTGCAATACCCCAGCAAGCTGGTAAAATGCACCGGTTCCCTTGATTTTCAAACCAAAAATGTAAAGAAGTTTACACCAACAACTTTACGATGGGATACAAAGATATACTATTAGCTGATAAGTGGTTACCATCAAGCAGGGGAAGTTCTCTTTTTGTAATGGCCTCCACCAACTTCATTGACCCTAAGGTGCTTCTTGAAATTTTAAACCTTTGTTGCTACAACAGGTAGTCTTCATTAATACTTTGGATCGAATTTAACAGATTTCGTAGGCTGCAAGAATCATTATAAGAGTGCCGTGGACATAGATCAACACAGTGGAGCTGGTGGTCCACAGCTATGCTCTATAGTGTCCCATGTTTCTCAAATTACCCGCACAGTCAGATATAAGAATACTTTTAATTAAATGTAAAGATTTTAATAACATTATTAATGTAGGCCCTTATTGACGCGGAGAATTCGAATCAATTTTTAGTCTTTCTTTCTCTCCATGTATAGATATACATTATTTTTTAAAACATATGGTTCACAAAAGTAAATTAGCATCAGCCGGGGTGATTGAGATATGTATACTTTTTTCATTTGACTAAATCATTTCGATCTGTATCTTGTACACTACACTACACAAGTTCACTACACTAGCTTACCAGTATCACAATCATCTTTAACAAATGGAGCTCCATTTGTTCCCATGGCAACCCAGAATAGTCTCTCGTCATTATTGAACCAATGAATCATGGGAATTTGTTTGTGTGAAGATCCATTTACTGATCTGCTAGCTTAAGGAGATATGGTTTAAATGGTCTGTAAAAACAAGCAACACATTCCATATTCAGTTGACTGCTCTGTGGCTAGTATTTGTAAATGTCTCACTTCTCCAATATCAATATTTTTTGTGTGGCTTACACAACATGTGTAGCCACACTATGGCGCGATCGGATTTATTTATTTGTACACGAGAGTCGAGCACCTGTCACGTGGTCTAGTATCGTAGTATTGTACGGCGCACTAATCTGAGTCAGCCATCTTGATTGTTAGCGTGGTCTCGAGTAATTTTTGTCAGGTGATCGTATCACGAGTTAGTTCCCCTCACACAAGCCAATACATTCAGACCCGGCTTGTGTTATAAGTGCAGCTTGTGCAAGAGCTTCTACGTTCTTAAAAGACAATATTTATAATTAACTGCTTGAATCTTCGGTACGGGTTGTACCACACAGAAAGGAGTTATTGCACTCTCACAAGCCAACAACTATCGGCTTGATCTATCGGTGCGGGTTGCACCACTCAGTGAGTGTCTGAAAGTGTTTCTGTGTGGTCACATTTCACTAAGTCATTTGCCGGAACATTTTTTATCCTGAATTTCTGTCTATACCATATGCTCAGTAAGAAAATTACTTAAACAGTCTTTTTAGTACATGCAAAGATAAAATTTTGGTCAAACTGCAGAATACCCTGCCACCCATGGCATTACATGTCATTGAATACAAATAGAATAAACCATTTTTAGCCAGTAGTGAAAATAGGACTTTTTTGTTGCCCTTAGAAAATCACTGAAACATTGCTGTTGTCTGGAAATTCAATTTGACGACCTCTTTAAATGAAATTATACTTTCATGTTTACATAGCTAAACCAATAAAAGTCACAAACATCTAATGCCTAACCTGAAACTGTGGTTTGTTGTTAACATGGTGCTAAATGTCTATTGTGATTGTTTCCAAACTTTGGGGAGTAATCCATTGAAACTCAGTAACAAAGTGGTTTTGCTTTTATTAAAATATGAATAGGAGCCTAGTGCTTTAATGTTAAGTGAAATGTGATTAGTGTTATGTTTTCCAAGTTATGGCCAGAATTATTCAGACCTTAACATTTCATAACTTCCTTCAACCTTGGCAGTCTTCTAGATTCTCTTCATAATGGTTCAGATAAGCATTGGTATCTATACTTGGTGGCAATACATGTGTAGTAGGCCTTTATTTGGTAGACTACAACTCCTTTTCAGTTACTTGTTTGGTTTGGTGAATTCATCACAATACTGATATACATGAAAAATTACACTTTTTTGATTGGCTGAAAATAGTTAGGTACCTTTTGATAAACACTAACAAATTGCATTCCTGAGTAAGAATTCAGCTGAAGGACAAATTTTGATGGCACACACTTCGTTTA